GAAAAAAAAAGAGGCCAGGTGTGGTGGCACACACCTGTAATCCCAGAAACTCAGGAGACTAAAACAGGATAATCACAAGTTCAAAGCCAACCTCAGTAACTCAGAGAGGCCCTAGTGACTTCACAAGACCCTGCCTCAAAAAACAAAAAAAAAAAACCAGCATGTCTCTCAGCCTCCAAATAGTGACCCAACCCAGGCTAGCCTGCTGGCTGCTGGAGGATGCAGAACATGGAGGTAAACATGGAGACTTGGTTATCCAGCCGAGACACCCTTGAACAGCCACAGAGCCAGGCAACTCCCAAATAAATGAGCAAGGCCCACCTCCACTAGCACAGCTGCCTGCCCAGACTTAGACTCATGAACCAGTCTGACCAAACCCAGAATTACCACCAAACCTCTAGGTAGGTCTTAAGAAATCACTGTAAATCACTGAGTTTGGGGAAGGTTATTACAGTCCTGGAACCACATAACAATGTTCTGGTCAGTGGCAGATCACATACACATGTGACTATGGTCCCATGACATGACATCACCCAGTGATGTCACAGCCACATTATTTTTCATAAGTTCACTTGATGATGTTCACACAATGCATCTCTCAGGATGTAACCCCATTGTTAAGAAATGCCTTGACTGTATACAGTAAGACTGTATACAGAGAATGCCTATTATGCACTTGGCACAGGATTCAAAGGGCTTTTTGTGTAAATGTAAGACACGGCAGGGACACTAGGGTTCACCTCAGTGGAAGCCCAGGCACAGCACACAACTGCATCCTGGGAGGGGTTCAGCAGAATTTCAGACTCAAGACTGTTCAAAAGGGAAGGTGTGAAGGCAGAGGAAAGAGGGCAGGTGGTGGGGGGCAGGTATCAGTGATGAGAAGGGGCAGAGGTTCTTGGAGGGAGGGAGGGTGCTGAGGCCCACCTGCCAGGAGGACAACATCTGCTTTCTTCAGGGCTGCACCGCGGTTCTGCCGGATGTGGAGGGGGTGGTTGCGGCCCAGCAGCCCCCGTGCCATCCCCCCCAGGAAGCAGGGGACGCCTAGGGTCTCCACAGCAGCCCTGGGGGTTCAGGCAAAGCAGAGATCAACGTGCCCAGGGCCTCCTCCCTCCCCACAGGGCACCAGAGGACCAGGGACTGGGAACAAGGGCTAGGCTAGAGCTCCTCACCGAAGCTTGTCAGCAGGTACTGGGGGCAGCAGGGCCTGACTCCCCAGCAACAACAGGGGCTTCTTGGCCCGGCTCAGGATCTCCACACAGCGCTGAACCTGGGGCAAGAAGTGGGGCTCAAAGGGTTGTCCCTAGTCACCATCCCCCCGCAAGACTAGGGTCCCAATCCTGGCTCTGGGAGAGGGTCTGTAGAGCTCTGCCAGATGGGGAACCTGGGCCAGGTAAGGGATTCACCTGTTGAGGGGATGCCTGGGGGATGTCCAGGGGCAGGGGCCCTTCAGGCTGAGGCTCCCACGCCCCCACAAACAGGTTGGCCAGGCAATTCTTTAAGTACCTGCGAGGAGGAAATGAAGCAGCCAGTTACCAGAGTGCACCAGAGGGATTCCAGCCAAGGAAAGTGAGGGACCAGGAAAGCGACTGGGAGCAAAGTGGAAAGAACAGAGGTGCATAAGCAATGGCCTAGGGACACCAAGCTTCAAGCTGCCTGTCTGCTCTCAGAAGCCTCTGTGGCCTCCCCAACTTGACAAGGCCCCCACAGAAACAAGTAATGCAAACGCAAGGTGTCAGGATGGGGGTGGTGCCTGTGGGTCAGGTAGATGTCGGCTTGGGCCCCCAGGTTATGCCACTTCCTAGCTGTGTGACTTTGAGCAAGTGACTTCACCTTTCTCAGCTTCCTCCTCCATTTATTTAAAAAAAAAAAAAAAAAAAAAACCCTTCCCTTCTAAGCTTCAACCAAGGGTATAAGTACTTTGTGAAGCATTCAACCAAGCCCCAGTTATTAACATTGTTCCCCTGGTTTTTTTTTGTTTGTTTTTGTTTTTTTTAATAAATGGAAGTATCCCCTGTTTGTTAACAGCGTTTTCCCAAGCCTTGAGTTTTCTTAAGGCCCTGGAGACAAAGAGAAATCTTGCCCAGGCCTTGCCCTCAGGGAACTCTCAATCCAACTAAAGACAGACACGTGGGTGTTGGCAGGAAGCCACAGGAGCTCAAAGCCAGAAGCATGTTTGCTGTTAAGGAGTCAAGGTTGCAGAGAGAGAGATGAGGCCAAAGACAGACCCATGAGAACCCACAGTTTAAAGGAAAGGCAAGGGAAGAGCTGGCCTTGAAAGGGGCACCACGACAGGGGTGTGGAGGGAGAGAGAGAAGTAGGGAACAGGTGATCAGGAGTCCAGAGGGCCAAGAGCATCAACAACAAGGACATAAAACAAATTCCCTGCTGCTTAAACCAGCCCCCAGATTACTTCTAAGAGACCTATCTTGTCCATCAATGTCACCCCATGCCATAGCTGGGGCTCACTAAATATTGAAGGAGGTGCAAAGACAAGCAAAGGGAAAGGCAGAGGGGAAGGGGAAAAGGAGGAACAGGAGGAGGAGGAAGAGAAGGAGGGCTACTTTGAGCTCAGCCTCTTTCCCTCTCCACCCTGCTCACCTGCTGCCACCTTGCTTTCCCCACCCACCAATTTCATTCCTGCCTCAGGACCTTTGCACATGCAGTTCTTCTACTTTGAATGCTCTCCCCACAGCTAGTTTCTCTCAGTCCATGTTCAAATCAATGAATGAGTCAAAGGAGGATGGATGTGTGCAGAGAGGAGGCTGCAGGTGAGCGGGGGAGGGGGGACAGTGTAGTGGCAATGGCTCTATTCACCAGGAGATCACTCGACCCATGAGGCCTTTGGGCAACTTGGCTGGCACCATCTCCTTCTGGACCATGTAGTAGGGGTACAGCACATCGACAGGAAGCTCCACAAACACTGGACCTATGGGGTCAGGGAGGAGGCTGAGCCTGCAGCACCTCCCCCAGCCTCTGGGTCTGACCACTGCCCAGCACTCCACCCCACCTACCTGGGGTGCCCGACTGGGCAGCTGCCATTGCAGCCCTCAGGGTGGGAATAATGTCGCGCACCCTCCGTACAGATGCACAGAACTTGCAGAGTGGCCGGAATAGGGACATCTGATCAATGGCCTGGAGAGCACCCCGTTTCTGGCAGAGACAGGGTGTGACCATTACCATATGAGCCCCTGGGAACCTCCCTAAAGCCCCTACACTCCACAAGGATAGGCACCTGCAGCAAGGTACTGGCGGCCCCTCCAAGGAGCAGGACTGGGGACTGTGCCACCTGAGCATTCTTCACAGCAGTCACTGTATTGGTGAGGCCAGGACCTGCCGTCACTGCCGCCACACCCACCGTCCCTGAAAGAAAGACCCTGTCACAGCCATGCCCACCCTCCAGCCATCCTCCTACCTCCCAAAAGCCACTCTTACTCAGAGATGCCCTATGCCACTGTCCCACCAGCCCCCAGTCCTCTCGGCACTGCCCTCACCTGTCAGGCGAGCCACAGCATCAGCGGCAAAGACAGCAGTGACTTCATGGCGCGTGTCTACCACGCGGATGCCCAGCTTCTCACAGGCCACCAGAAGCGGGGAAATGTGGCCACCAACCAGTGTGAAAATGAACCGTACACCATGGGCCCTCAGCACAGCTGCCACATTTTCCCCTCCATGCCGGACACTCGTCTCGTCCACCTGAGCCACAAGAGCAAGACTGTCAAGGGCTACAGCATGGGCAGCTGGGAGAAGGGCCAGGAGCAAGGTCAGAGGTCAGGGTAACTTGAGTGTTGATTAAACACATACCATACTATACATTAGGCTCAGGGCAGGGCACCTCATCTTATCATATTCTCTTCTTATCATCTCTCTCATTCAGGTGAGGACACCAAGACTTGCCCAAACAAGATTCAAAGTTCAATAGAAAGAACCCACTTTCTTAAGCACCCATGTTACACTGCCTTTCTTGGGACAAGAGAGGGAAGGTGGATATACAGAACCCACAGGAGTATGGCCAGGGCAGGGAGCCACTAGCAGGGACTCCTGCCTGTTCACTGGTATCCCTGCAGGGCCAGGCACTTGGACTGCTACTTCAGCCTACCTGATCCTTCCCACTCACTGCTGAGCAGGCCCAGGGCCAGCTGGCAAGCTGCCAGTCACCACATGCCTGGAACAGAAGGACGCCTGCTGGCACAGACTGAGCCAAGCATCCTAGCCCCAGCATCCTCATCACCTTAAATCTCTACAAACTTCAACATCAGTGACGTGGCTCCTCACTAGAAGAGGAAAGGGTCTAGGAAGGAGTAAATTCTTGACAGCAAGTGGTCTAGAGTGAGACTTGGGGGGTCAGCTCTACCCAAACCTATAGCCTAGGGCAAACTACTAAACAACCTCTCTGGACTACCATTTCCTCTTGTGGAAATGAGAAAAGAAACAGCAGCACCTGCTTTCAGGAGGTGGGCAGGGATGGGTGAGAAAATTCCTCTAAAACGTTAAGCTCAGCAGATTTCAATTATCACAGCCACACCCTCTCATGTCTGCCTTCAGCCCACTTATGCTACTGGGCTAAGAAGGCACGATCCTAGGTGGTGTCCCTCTGCTCTGTGATAAGGGCTCAGGCCCCTGGGTAAAGAGGCAGGCGGAGTGTGTGTGTCCAGGCACCGATAGTTTCCCTTATCTCTTAGTAGTGGCAAAGTCCAGGACCCACATACAACTTGGAAATGGGGACTAAGCCTTAGAAAGACTCTCCCCACCAATCTGGACTAGTTGAGACTCGCTTTCCCCACCTGTAAACTGAGTGAGTTGGAAGCGCACCATAAGGGCCCTCCTTCCTTGGGTGTCCCCAGCCCGCCTCCCGCCTGTGCCCTGGCACCTTGTGCATCAGCTGATAGAAGAGCCCCAGTCTGTGAGCGGCGCCCAGCAGGGCAGCCAACAGTGTTCCGCAAGTCACGAGCAGGAACGAGGGGAAGAAGCCCTCGGCAGGGGCGGTGACCGCGGGGTTCTCCATGAGGTGGAACCTAAGGGAGAAAGCGCAGTGCCAAGACCTGGGCGCCACGGACAATCTCAACCGGAAGAAGGCACGTCCCCTCTTCCAGGTAGGATCCTGGGCCACGCCCCTTATCCAGAGTTTCTAAGAGGCCACGCCCCCAATCCTATCAGACCACGCCCCAAACGCGTCAGAGGCTAGCCGCGCCTCCCGGGCCGGGCCAAGCCTCTCATGACTCCAACCCCACTCCCTTACGTCACCACCACCCAAGCTAAACCAATGCGACAACGGCACTAATAACAGTTATTCTTCCCACTTACCTATTTGTCAATGTATCAGCGGGAAGCCCCGCCCCTCTTTTACACAGGACCCCCAATCTCAAGTCCAGTGGTGAGCCCACCCCACGTCTACATCACCAAGACGCAGGAGACCACGCCCCCAAGTTAGCGAGTGCGACCCTTTTGGCCCAAGCCAGGCCTCTTCCCGTTGGACGGCACGAATTCTAAGGCCGACTCTCGACCTCAAGTCGCGAATCAAGGTCAAAAGGCACAGTATGCTTCTATGCCAGCTCGACCCTTAGGGTCCTTCAACTTTCACCTACAGGAAGTGGCCCTGACTCCAGCGGAATTCGGCACCCACGTGTCATGTGACCCGAGCGCACTGCTCTGCTCCTTTTGCCCACTTGGCTCAGCGGCGCCCCGTAGTCCACCGAGAAGCGCATGCGCAGAACTGGAGCCACGCTGTGGAGGGGAAGGAACCCGCCCGTAAAAGCCTTGTCTTTACTGGCCAATTTGCGCACAGGCCCCACCTCCCCTGCTTCTCATTGGTTCGCGCTGCAGACCGCAAACCCTCTTCTTTTTTAATCTACAGGCCACGTCCCTCGTCCTCTTCCACCAGACGAGACTCGCGCAGGCCCATATTCCAAGGTCTTTCATTGGCCCAACATTGCGGTCCCGCAGGTTCTGGACCCTCCAAGAGCAGCTTGCTTTCCTCACGAGCCGAGGCGACCCGTTTCACGTTAGCCAGGAGTGGACCGTCATTGCCCGCTCTCCGGAGAGCCGGGTCATCAAGGACCTCCTCCCAAGCAAGCCCCTCCCCCTTCACTCCTCCCACCCCGCACGAAGCCCCGCCCCCTCGCCGTAGGCCCACCTGCGCTGGGGCATCTGTCCTTTTCTAGACCCTGGAAGTGGGGTTCGCTCCCCAGGGAGTGGAGTACCGTGGTCCGGATGCCGTTCCACCACGTCCCAGACTGTTCAGCCTCTGGAAAACTAACTACCGGTCGGTAAAGGAGGAGTCGTTCTTGTGGTCAGCGCCCTGCTTCTATCCAAGATGTATCATGCATCATGTTTTTACACTTGTATCATGTTTTTACACTTGTCTCCCTTTCTCTGTCGCCTTCTGGGATTTGCCTCTGAGGATTCTCAGTCGTGGTTAATTTTACCTTATACTGAATCATTCCTCCGTCTTAATATCACTCATTATTTTAAAAAGTATTTCCAGGGGCTAGGAATGCAGCTCAGTGGTAGAGCACTTGCTTGGACGAGGCCCTTGTTTCCATCCCCAGCACTATCAGAAAGAAAGAAAGAAACCCGCTCCTACTTTTAGCAAAATTCCTCTATGACTTGCATTTACCTAATGGCTCCGTGAACACGCTCCAGTTTCCTCCGGAACCTAATCTAAACAGGCTCTTCCTTACTGCTTCATGAGAGCTGTTCTGGATTATTCCAGCAGTCTCCAAATTGGTCCCTCTACCTCCTCCTGTCTCACTCAACCCAATTTTCCCAGGCAGTGTAAAGAAGTCACCTCTGCTTGGCCTTGCTTAGTGAGGGGACCTATAATTAACAGGATAAACCACAAACTTCCTTAGAAGGGCCTTCTAGGCTCAAACTCCCAGAGACAATAATGAAAGCATACTCATTACTTTTGGGCAAGCACTTGTTATGTGCAAGGGGTTGTTCCAAGCACTTTTCATATAATAATTCATTTTCACAGTCCTGTAAGGTAGGCTGACTACCTGTTTTATAGTTGAAAAAGCTAGAGCACACAGATATTGAGTTACTTGCTGAGGGTCACACAGCTCGTATATGACAGAGACAGAATGAGAACTCAGGAAGAGCACCCCCAAGATGAATACTGTGTTTTAATCACTGCCTGGCTTCTCTCATGTCTATCACAGGGTGGAGTGTTTGGGACCCACCCAGATCCCCCTTGCAGTTACATCCCAGCTGCAGAATCTCCATCTCTTTGAGGATTTCAAAGCCCATTTTATTCAGCAGTGCTGTCCAGCAGGCCAGAAAGGCTGAGGAATTAATACCTCCTGCTTCTGGGCAGCCCTCAATCCAATGGTCAGTGGACATAGGTGACTACCCAGTTCTCTCACCCTGGGGTAGGACAACTCACAGGTGTGTTTCTACACGCACTCCCTGGGCCATGAAGGCCCACTGCCCCCAGTGGTAACTTGCTTGATACCATACCCTCTTCTGGCCACCTTCCCCCTCTCAGCTCTTCCCACTCACTAGGGTTTCCTTGGATCCTCTGTAGAACGTCTCAAACTACCTACTCATTCCTCTTCCAAGAAACTCAATCTAAGACCCAGAGTTCAGTACAAAAGCATATTGATAAAGTGTTACCCAATGAGTGAGTAAATTGCTCACCCAAATGAAAAGCAACAAGTGTCATCTAGAATGACAAAACAAAGTGTGGGTGAAAAAATCCCGACACTTCTAGCTTCCTCTTAGAAGCATTGCCTGTTCACCAGGCTTTTAGAACAATGATTGGCCTTTCTCCAGCAAAATTCTTTGAGGTTGATTAACTTTGCCCATCTTGTCAAATTCATGATTACCTGAAACCGCTCATTTCATTTCAGAACTCACTTCTCCCTGAGCCAGGTTACAAGTAAACCAGGTTGACCTTAACAGGAACCCCAGATTTTTTTTTTCTTCTTATGGTGCTGAGGGTTGTACTCAGAGCCTTCTGCATGCTAAACATACACCCCACCACTAAACTACAACCCCAGCCCCATTTACATATATTTCTTTTTTGAGATGGAGTCTTGCTCTATTGCCCAGGCTGCCCTCAAACTCCCAGGCTCAAGTGATATTTCTGCCTGAGCCTCCCAAGTAGCTGGGACTACAGGCATGTGCCCCCACACCCAGTTTCCTGAACTTACCCTATTAGAGTTTCACATTCACAGTCTCCACCACATTGATGCATTGCTCTCCTTTATAAAACCTTTTTCATAAACTTTTTTTATGTTGGAATAATTTTAGGTTTACAGAAAAATTGTAAAAAAATAACAAGAGAGTTGCTACATGTCCTTCATTCCAGTTTACCCTATTGTTAATATATTATAGAAATGGGTGCATTTGTCAGAATTAGGAAGCTAACGTTGACATATTGCTATTAGCTAAATTTGAGAGTTTATTCCAATGTCACAGGTTTTTCTGCAAATGTCTTTTTTCTGTTCCACTATCCCATCACGACCTCACATGGCATTTAGTCACCTCTACTTTGATTATCTTTCACTGAGGCACCATGAGCCAGCCATTATTTCAAACACTTTGAAAGTATTTACTAAAGCCAAGTCCAGTGGCTCACGCCCGTAATCCCTACCACTCAGGAGGCCGAGGATGGCAAGTTTGTGGCCATCGTGGACAATTTAGTGAAACCCTTTCTCAAAAACTACAAAAAGTATTTACTCACTTGATGCTCATCACAACCTTATGTATGAAGTATATACAGTCATCCTTCAGTATCCAAGAGAATTTACTTCCAGGATCCCCTCAGACACCAAAATCAGTGGATTGCCAAGTCCCTCATATAAATCAGTGTACATTTGCACAAAACCTCTCTAATCCTTGCTTCCACATCCTTGAGCCATCAGCAGCTTGCCTGGGCCTCCAACCACGCTTGTGAGGTGTGAGGTGTGAGTCATCCTTGGCCCCAATCCTGCATGAGGTAGGGCCCAACAGAGGCCTGTGGAACTGGTATTTCCACCCACTCAAGCAGAGCAGTGAAAGCCAACTACTCCTCACAACGGGAAAAATTTAAAAATCCACAGAAACCCCGAAAGCATTACTAACTGGGTTGTTAGTGATTCATAAATGAACTGATTTCCCAATTTTTTTGAAAAAAAGAAATAGAGGCAGCCTACAAAAAATTTAATGTACTTACTATCTATCATCTTAAAGTAAAATTAAAATCAAGAACTGGGATGTAACTCAGTGGTAGAGCACTTGCCTAGTATGTATGAGACCCTGGAGTCAATCCCCAGTACCAAAAAAAAAAAAAAAAAAAAAAAAAAAAAAAAGCACACACACAATGAAATCAAATATCCTAGAGTGAGCTGACCCATAACAGCTTTATTTGTAATAGTCAAATTTTGGGAAAACTGGATGCTCAAATGGTTAAACATTACATCCATTCTGTGGACTACTACTCAGCAACATGGTAGGCATTTATCATATATATATTATCTATTATAAAAATCAAGGCAATTATTACCAGTGGATAAGAGCAATATCCCTGAATGTGTCCCTCTTTAGTCATGCCCAGTACCTGAAGGGAATGGGAACATTCTATTGCCAGAAAGTTTTACTATTAGACAATCATGAATACACACAATCTAGAAACTGGTCCAAAACTTTATTTTTCTTTTGAATCTCCTTTCAGTCCACCCGAGGTTGGAAATATTCAATCCCATTTCCCTCCTTCTTCTCAATCCCATTTCCCTCCTTCTTCTCATACCTCACATTTCCTTTGGTTTGTTTTTTGTTTTGTTTTGTTTTGTACCAGGATTTGAACCCAGGGGTGCTTAACCACTGAGCCACATCCCCGGCCCTGTTTTTATTTATTTTGAGACAAGATCTCACGAAGTTGCTCAGGGCCTCACTAAATTACTGACACTGGCTTTGAACTTGTGATCCTCCTACCTCAGCCTACACCCCCAGCCCTTCTGATGTTTTGTTGCCCAGGCTGGCCTTAAACTTGAAATCCTCCTGCCTCAGCCTCCCGAGTAGCTAGGATTACAGCTTTGTGCACCACCACGCCTGATAACTATGATGTCTTGAATAACAGGTCATGCACACATTGAGTCTGAGCCTTTGGGGACATGGGTGGGAGAAGCCAGACTACATGTGTGTGTTGGCTAGTTATTGCCCCATGTTAATAAAGAGAGAGAGAGTGTGAGGCAAGCTGAGATGGAAGGAAATATAATTAGGGATGCTTTCTTTCCACACAGGCTGTAATTTTTAAAAGGACGAAATCTGCTGATGTGGGGCATCACAGGGCTTCAAACACAACTACTTCTGCACTCCCAAAGTGAAGTAGTGACACAAGGTGGCTCTGGGGAAACAGTCACAGCAAGAAAGATATTAGGTCTTTCTGAACAGTTGCCCACTTCGTCTTCTCTTCTAGACTGTGAGAGTCCACCTAGCAACAAGGATACTGCCTTCTCTCTTGTGTTAGTCTGCTTTCTGTTACTATAGCATAATACCTGAGTTTTGGAACTTTATAAAGAAAATGTGTTCATTTAGCTCACTGTTCTTCAAACCATAATACTTCCAAGCCTACTGGGTTTTTTTTTTTAAGTATATTTAGATTGGATTTATTTTATTTTTTATTTTTATGTGGTACTGAGCATCAAACCCAGGGCCTCACACGTGCTCTACCACTGAGCCTGGGGAGGTTTGTCATGCTTGAGTGAGATTCGTGTGTTATTTGGGATTAATTGGTTTCATATGCTAATCCTGCTTTTAACCATTCAAGATAAATCTTGGATTTCAAACTGGATGGAGCGAATGAGTAGATCATTAGGCTACATCCCTTGGAGAAGAACGTTCTCTGTGTGAGTAGCTGAAGTGACAGAGTCTGCACAACTTGATACAGTAACACCAGTCCTTCTGGCCCGACTGGTTTAGGAGGTGCTTTCGGATCTGTTAGAGCCGAGCTATCTTTAAGACACATAAATCCTTCTCTTGCTAACAGGAACTGCCTTTTAGAGCACACTTCGATTTTAG